AGAGGAGGCCGAACGCCTGAGTCAGAGACTGCCCAGGGTGGGAGTACCTGCGGCGTCGGCTAGACTGGCGCCGTAGGTGCTTATTGCATGTGGTTTATGTTATGTATGTTTGTGATTTATTTTTGCCCAACCCTCGCAAAGTCCTGCCCCCCCCCCTCCACGTTTTGCAACCCGGGCAACGGATCCCGACTTTTGGGATCCGGCTAACGGGGGAGGCCACACCACGTTGTGAATCAGCTCTTGATTAATTTCGGGCTGATTCACAACGTGGTGGTGTGAATTTTTAGACGGCGTAGGCCGCCCTGAAGCAATACCTCAAGGTAGTTCCAGGGCGGTCCACAGCATGCCGGCGTTGGAAAAAAAAAAAAAAAAGGTTGTTGCCTTACCAGGCTATTCGGCCCACCCGCTCGTTATGAAGTTACCCTCGATCGCTACCGATTATTCGTCCACTCTAGGAGTGGCTTATATCACGGCTACCCTACTTATCTGCAGGGTTAACGAGCGTTTGGGCGGCTCGCTATCGGCGACCGCTTATTTTTCAGTCCAAACGAATGGACTGCTTATTTCACGGCTAACCTGTACAGGGTGATCCATTTAACATTGACCAGCAAATATCTCAAAAACTATTTATTATTTTAATAATTTTTTTTTTTAATTATTTTAGTTACATAAAACTCTACATTTATCCATGATCAGATAATTTTTAGGTTCATCCCTTATGCCTTAAAAGGGTACCAACTTTTTTTTTTTCAAATGGAAACATATATTTTTAGTTAGATATATTGATAGAGTTTTTTTTTTTATAATTTTTAGCGTTTGAATTTTTCATTTAAGTCGATTAGTTTGCATGTTATTTCACTTTAAAGTTTTGATTTTTTTTACCTATATATATGTATAAAACGGTTAGACTTGTAATACAGGTAGTTAATTGCAGCAGTTATGATGGCTCGTAAAGACACATATTAGATAAGATAAGATATTTGCTGGTCAATGTTAAATGGATCACTCTGTATATCAGCAGGCCGTTCCTCTATCCACAACCTGAGGACGCGCCCGATTCCCCGAGCTAGGGAAACTGAGCTTGTGCTGACATTTCGTAGCCCCGTAGAGCCCGATCACACTGAACACTAGCGCAGCGAAACGGGACGCGGGCGTACCCAAAACGTAAGAAAAATTCGCGTTCGAGCGTGTCTACAATCACCTTTGTAGTCGCTGCGCCTATCGGGTATGCTTCGGTCCAGCGACTGAATCAGTCAGTTGCTACTAACAGGTTCGTTTTTTCTCTTGATGTTCTGGGGTACTCACCCACTAATGACCTCCCACGGTTGTCTTGGTTTGCGCGAAGTTAGAGGATCATTCGGGCGCCTATTTAAGGCCTTCGTACACGCACAAACATCACACGATTTTACGTACTTGCATACTATGTTTTTCAGGCCCTTCCAATAGAAACGCTGTTTGATCGCTTGGTAGGTTTCTTTCCATCCTGAATGACACGCTAGTGCATCGTCGTGGTATCGCCAAATCACACGCTGTGATTTGGCTACCGCTATTATGGCCGGCGTGTCTACACCCATACGAATGCGTATAAGTCCGTCTAACATGAAATATTCGTTGTTGTTTTTGCTGGACTCCTTATCGTTTTTTCTGGCGTTCTCCTTGAGTCATTGTTTCACGATGGATAAAAGAAACGGGTCGTCGTTTTGCATTCTTATATTCCCCCCCCTCCATAATCGAAAAATTTCGCGTAATCAGGAGGACTCAGTCGTGGGAACTCACACAGGGCCTTTTTTTACTTGTTTAAAAGCCCTTTGATAGTCTTCCGTCCACAACCATTTCGTCCCCGTTTTTAGTAGGTTTGTCAGCAGCGTTATTGTTTCGGTGTAGTTGTCGACGAGTTGACAATACCAATTAAATATGCCGAGACATCTACGTAGATCCCTGACATTCCGTGGGACCAATAGGATGCGTATAGACTCGAGTTTTTCGGGCTGCTTGTCTATGCAATATGGCCCAAATAGGAAATTTCGGAGAACCCTATTTTACACTTTTTTGTGTGACATGTCAGGCCGTGTCACTCAAATCCTTCTAGAACTTTGCCTTAATATTTTAAATGCTTTTCTAAACCTCGTCCATGCTCCCGCGGATTCCTCCTCGGCCAATCGTTGGCACCAATTGGACACGGTTACGCTCTTGAGATGCAGCCGGTCCTCCGCACGAAGCGATTGACCAGTGCTCTTCCGGAGCTCGTATCCGTTGGCGCGTTCGACGTCCAACAAGTCCGCGGGCGCTAGAGAAACGATGACAAAACCCAACGTAAACTAACCTAAGGCAAGTGAGGAACCTCTCCTCTTCCACCAAATCTTATGATAGAGAGGTAATGAAACACGACGTTAACACAACTTGTCGCGCGCCTAAATTATGCTCGGGCATATAGTATATACGTAATATCGGTTTTTTGACGAAAAAAAAATGCGTTTTCCAGGTAAGCTATACGATTACAGTGAAAAATATGAATTTTAAACGTCGAATCCGCTATTTTGATATGCGACATGCATATATTTAGATAAAGTTTGTACGTAAAATGTTAATTTTACCTAATTTGTAAAAATAAAATTAGTTTTACAAATGGCTGTATTGATGATTATATATTTTTATACTATAGCACTCGAGATTAATACAGCAGATGGCTTAACGCGGCGGCGATGTCGCCGTCAATTACATTTGTTTAGGCCTACACAATAAATGTAGCTATTGTTGTTTTATCTTATCGTTGTTCGGCGACTGCATAGTTGTCCGGTTTTAAAATTAGTTAGTCTACCTTTGTAAAGCGCACCGCTCGCGTACATTTAATATACGCATACCTATTTTTTCATTCTTTTACGTTTCATTTAATTTATCGAAGATCTTTTAGTCGTAAGAGATCACGCCGAAACATATGGTTCTTCACCCGGAACGTCTAGTGAATATCGGAAACGTGAAAGTGCGAAAATTTGCGTAACGAAAGTGCGTTATTAGGGTACGTGAGTTAAGGGTTGTATGTGCGTGTTCGTAAATAATTCTAACGCATCGAGTTAGAAAAGGGTTAATTTCTGCACAACGTAATGCGTAGCAGCAGCGATTGCTATACACAGAATATAATATCTATGGTACAGAGAGATGCTAATGCGGTGACAAATTCGGACAAAAAATGCTTTAATTGTCACTCAAGTCACTCGGTGTATCGATGTCCTAGTCTTTTGGCCTTGTCCGTAGTTGAAAGCATTAAGCGCATTAGTGAGCGCAATTTATGCAGGAATTGTCTACAGACACACCCTAAGAAAAAATGTTTGGCTCGAGGCTGTTTTAAGTGTGGCAAGCCACATAATACACTTTTACACTTAAGTGCACGGACCGATCAGTCAGAGTCCAACTCAGCAACAAACTTAACGGAAAATTAGGAAAATAGCGAGTCAGAACAAGTAGTTCAAAATGAATTAGCAACCGTTAGTGCACATACTAGCTTACCGGCTGCTACGTCGATATTATTACCAACCGCAGTTGTTTTGGTCAAGAGTAATCGTGGTGAATGGGAGAAGTGTCGCGTGTTACTGGATTCTGCATCACAAAGTAACCCAAACGTATGACACAGATTTTGCGGTTACCGAAAACCCATATCGACCAAGGCGTCCAAGGAATTGGTGGAAACGTACAAAGAATTAAATCTCGAGTAATGGTTACAGCCAACTCCCGTTTAAATTACTATTCAGTAGCATTGTCATGTTTAGTAGTTAAGAACATTACGAGTAACCTACCAGGCATCCGACTAAATGATAGCTGCGTGGTTCCGAAAGCTATAGTCTTAGCGGATCCGCGTTTCACCGTGCCACAGAAGATTGACCNTGTTTCACTGTGCCACAGAAAATTGACCTATTAATAGAAGCGGGTCACTTCTATGATTTAATGTCTGCAGGTAAAATAAAGTCACGACCAGACGGTCCTGTATTTCAGGAAACAAAGTTCGGATGGGTGGTTGCCGGTTCATCGGAAAATCAACTCAATAGTATAAATCAACAAACAGTGGTTTTCCTCACGGTGAATGACAATTATAACCAATCATTAGAAAAGGTAGCTGAATGTGAATTCAGTAAGTATCCTGTCGCGTGTCAATCATTAGTTAACGATTTTTATGTGGATGATTGGTTAGGCGATGCAATGAAACGGGCAGAGGATATAACATTACAAGACAATATTATTGCCGTAATGAAAGGTGCCGGTCTACATTTACGGAAATGGGCATCGAACGATAATCGTTTAATAAGTAGTTTATTACCTACCGAACTCAATAAAGATAATGACTGTCCGCGTATTATCGATAACGACACGTTGAAAATATTAGGCCTGTGTTGGGATCCGCCATCGGATTCATTTAAATATACATTAAGTGAAAACATAATAAATAATAACGATATAAAAGCGAACAATTTTATCGAATATAGCCACAATTTTTGATCCCCTTGGTTTGCTCGGGCCTGTGTTAGTTGTTGCATAAATTATCATGCAACGTTTGTGGTGCATTCAACTCAGTTGGGACGGTCCCCATGGTTGAAGGAAGAGTACGAGAAATTGCCGAAGTCATGTGTATAATACAGTAGTACAAACAATATACCAGAAGCCAAAAATACGGGCGAAACAACAATTACGACTGTTGCACGCGTAGCATACGATAAATGTTATTCGTTGTTATCTAGAAGGTCGTCGTTATTATTTATCATCAGAGTAACGGCGTATTGTCTACGCTGGCGGTATAACATTAATCGAGCAGTAGGTAATAAAAATAATAGGCCGTTAATGGTAAACGAACTAGATAGAGCAATTACGACAATCATCAAAATAATTCAACGCGCACATTTTCGGCAAGAATTGAGATAGTTAAATAGTGCAAATGCGAATGTGTCAAAAAAAAGTAAACTACTATTAATGGGGATAATATTATACGCGTCGGAGAACGTTTAAAATACGCTATGGCTTTAAATGACAATCAAAGACATCAAATTGTATTGCCGGATAACTGTCTTTACACAAAATTATTATTGCGTAAAGAACACATGGATTTGGTGCACAGTGGACCTCAAGCCTTGGTGGCCTCTATTAGGCAGCGCTACTGGCCTTTAAAAGTGCGAAGTAAGGCACCATGTAACAAAGGATACATCAGCATATTTGTATGTTTCGCGACAAAGGCGATACATATCGAACTCGTGAGCGATTTGTCAATGAAGACGTTTTTACAGGCGTTGAACAGATTTTTTGATCGACGTGGCAAAAGTTTAATAATTTACAGTGATAACGCCAGAAATTTTGTGGGCATGCGTCGGCATTTAAAGGAGGTGTACGCACTTTTCCAGTCCCCAGAACATCAGCGATCCGTTTTCTCTCAACTAGCGGACAAAGGAATTGAGTGGCGATTTATACCACCCCGTGCACCGCATTTCGGTGGACTTTGGGAGGCTGCGGTCAAAAGTATGAAAAGTTTGCTATATCGCGTTTTGGGAGAAGCTCGGCTCACGTACGAAGAATTATTAACTGTACTAACGAGAGTGGAAGCTGTACTTAACTCGCGACCAATAACTCCAGTATCCTCTGATCCGGCTGATCTAACCTATCTCACACCAGGTCATTTTTTAATTGGCGATATAATGACTGCCATACCAGAAAAGGATGAGACGACCACGACTATTACTCACTTAAATAGGTGGAGAATAGTCTCTCATTACACCCAAGTACTTTGGAAACGGTGGCACCAGGAGTACTTATCTCAACTACAGGAAAGAACCAAATGGTCCAGCACGAAAGGGCCTAAGTTACAAATTGGAACTATTGTGTTGGTAAAAGAGACAAATTTACCACCACTCAAATGGCAAGCTGGGCGTGTAATGGAATTATACTGTGGCGATGACAACGTGGCACGATCAGCAAAGGTCCGTACTAACGTCGGCGAGTTTTGACGAGCGGTCAGGTTATTATGTCCGTTACCTTTTGAAGGCAACAGTTTGTAGCCAGTTTGTAATTTACTTAAATTTCTTATAATTCGTAGTTATTTTAATGTATATATGTGTCATATCCTGTGTGGGATTAATCATTAATTTTTCCATAATGAATTTGTTTCTAATGATTATTTGTATATTAATTTTTTTTGTATTTATGTATTACCTTTTACGTTTTTAGCTATTGCGAAATTTGTTCTTAGATTATAATTGTTTTTTGTTATCTTTTACTTTGAAACAAATATTTCAAGGCGGGCGGTGTGTTTAGGCCTACACAATAAATGTAGCTATTGTTATTTTATTTTATCGTTGTTCGGCGACTGCATAGTTGTCCGGTTTTAAAATTAGTTAGTCTACCTTTGTAAAGCGCACCGCTCGCGTACATTTAATATACGCATATCTATTTTTTCATTCTTTTACGTTTCATTTAATTTATCGAAGATCTTTTAGTCGTAAGAGATCACGCCGAAACAACATTAATTGTTAATATACGAGCTATAAGCTTGACCGTTATTCGTATAGTGAATAATAAATCGGTATTTTTTTATTTGTCGACAATGTATAAATAACGACTGTTTGAGTTTTCTTATAGCAAAACACATTCTTAAATAAACCTTACTACTACCGCCGCCGACGACGACGATAATAATTGCTGGAACATATATTCTAATGATTATAATATTATTATTATTATTATTATTATTATTATTATTATTATTGTAATACACTTATCGATTAATGTCATACATAATTTTGTCTGAATTATTACTCATATCCCTCTCAATTTTATAAATAATTACTGTATTTAACTAATATAACTATAATTATAATAATTAAAACGTATATAAATTAGACATGCAGACGTATGAAATTATACACTTCTAGAACAGTCAGGTGGAAAACTGAATTTTTCGTTTGTGATTTATAGTAGTATATGCATGGGTATGAAAAACGTAGGCGGCCAGTATTCATTACAGTCATTTATTTCATAATATTTTTATATCTTAGTCGTATACACCTCATGTGTTATCACGAATTAATTGTCTAACAGATGTTTGGAAAGGATGGTGTCGTGCAGCAACAACATTGTTTGCGGACTACTAATCGGTTCTCAGTATTTGTTAATCTATTGTGCGCGTAAGATGGATTATTTCAATGATATATCAGATAAATTGAATTTTCTTGTTGAAAATGATCTGACGGATAGAGTATTTAAATCAGTCAATAAATTATTGAAAAATTATCGAGATTTGCAATATTTTGCGGAACGTCTAGGCGATAAAGTCAACGGTGTAGGTGGAGAATTTTTACATTACGAAGGTTGTGAATTATCGGATGCGGGAAAAAATTTAGACAATCCTGAATGTGCATGCTCAGTTGTGAAGCGAATATATTACGAACTTTTGGATTCAATCGAAACAATTGAAAAAAAGACGAATGCGAACCGCAGCGACAGTAACGCCTATTGGATTTTGAGACTTAAATCACAATGGCTACATCAAGGTGCAAATTTAATAAAATCAACGACTTGATCGATTCATCAATGTATAGAATTTTACAAATGTCTCGAGTATACATTGGTCTGGACCCGGACGATTCATTTTGGCCAAAAGTCATGTTGGTAAACCCAAACCCGTCCGGAATTTATTATCACAGTCGATTTACTACATAGGATGTATTCAATGTGCGGATATATTTTATCGATAACAGAACATTTAAACGGAATAATACTTTTGTAAGATGAATACATTAAGGTGAGCCTGACACAGAGGAGGCTAACCCAAGAAGTTGCATTACTGTATCAGTCAAAACGTGATGACGGTCGTGTATTTTCGATGAAAAAAACTGAGTTTGCGCAATTGCACTTCATTAAAAATATGTTATTTGAGAAAATACATCGACAATTGTTTCATATACGTCCGCGTATTATACATGAAATAAAGGTTATACTTCACACTTCAATTGATCGTATGGTGGTTTAAAAGAAACCGATAATTTTTCCCCAAATTAAAACACCGAATTTGTTGTATATGCACGAAATTTGTCGTATGGGGTTTATAGGTAAATGTTTAGAAAACACATCGAAAATTATCGTCAACGATTATCCACACATGAAAGTATGTTTAAAAATATTTTGATTTTTTTCATGTTAAAACTTATACTTAAAAATTTTCAGCGTGTGGATTACTTCTTCGATTTGGTGGAATTGGCTACAAACAGATCATTTCTAGGAATAGATACTTTGCCAAAAATTGACAAAAATTTATGCGTGACTTTTCCAGTCAAATTCGAAGACGATTGAAATAAAATAACAAGTTTGCAAAACAACTAGTTTTTTTATTAAAAAAAAAAATTATATATTTATACATTTTTTGTTTCTATACTATTGTAAATTGCACTATAATAAAATATAAATTTGTATTTTACTTTAAAGTTTTCGTACTTCTCCCGTGAATGCGTTGTATTTCATTTGACAGTCGTGAATAATTATACAATACAATGATGTTTTATCGGGAAACTATTTGGAGCATTCGAAATCCAAGCGTAGATCAACCGTTGAAGACTTGACGGTGTCGTTTTGTTTAGAACAATCAATCACGACTATAGGTCCACGTTTTTTATAATTTATATAGTCTAATAAAGGAGATAGGGGTCTTTACGACCGTAATACATTGTCTGGAATTGCGCGTACGAGTTATAAAACGTTGTGTACTTGTTGTTGTCGAAATCGGCGTTTTGGTTCTCCTACGGGTACTCGTCAGCGTTCAGATACGCTTTGACTTTTCTCAATGAACAGTGATTGAAATCTCTGAGAACGTGTTCGTCTTCATTACCCATGGCAATAAGTAAATATCTAGGTTTTTCGACATTCGAATAGGTGCACACCGACCACGTGTGATGAGTTGTCTGCGGTACTAACGGGTAAACAGCAACGTCCCAGTGTTGAAATTCTAACGGTAGCCATTTCTTACTGTCTAGAATTCGCATCAAACCCAGTTCGGTTTTCACGCTGGGTTCAAAGTACTTTACCACCCATTTGATTTTCGATATTTTCACGTTGATTTGTTTTATTAATGTTGCAACTTGCGCTTTATCATCTGATGTTGATGTTTTTGGAACAAATGATACGACAGTGCTATCGGTACTTGATCTATTCAACACGAGTGTTTGAGTACAGTTTATCAGTGTGCGCCGGTACCGTTCGAAAAATCCCATGCATATAGACAATAGACATTGTGCCACAAATTCAGTCCCATCGACGAAATCGTTGTTGTTGTGCAAAATTTGTGCGTATTTCCATCCGGCTGGTTGTAATCGTCGGATATCGTTGGGTGTGAACGAACAATAGCCCTTGATGGTTGTAGCCATCCCAACGTATTTTATCTTGTCCACTTCTTTACCATTTACCTCAAATCTGATTTCATCGAATAGGTGCATTAGAAAATTTTGCCCCATAACCATTTCACCGGCTGTTCCAGGTGGTGGTTTTTCCAGTTTTCCTTCGATTTGCAAATAACTTTCGCACGGCACGGTGAATTTCTCCTTGTTGCGCACCTCGATACGGATTTCATCGTTGTGTTCGTACGAGTTGTTGTAACTCTGATGTTCCAGATAGTATTCGCGTTTTACACTGTCGTCTTGCTGACATTTTTCCAATACGTGTAAGTACTCGGCCATGATTGACTCGACAACNGTAAGTACTCTGCCATGATTGACTCGACAACCCAACGATTTTAAAAATTCGATATTTTTCTTTGTTAGTTGCTGCTGCGATAGCGTCATACGATTTTCCGGTTGCTCCGTCGTAGAGTATATGCCATCACTCAAATGATAGTGCATTTCACTCCTGTTGAAACTCAGAGGCATTTAAAGAGTGTCAACACGTTTTTCCAATATAAAGACACGGTCGTCGACTGAATAAAGTTCTCAAACCAGTGCTTCCAAAAGATAAATTGTGGCTGAACTGTTGTTTTTGTTATTACTGTTTATCAGCTGACAGTTGTTGACGGATGTTTGAAGGAGTAGTAATAGTTGCACGATTGTGACTAGTATGTACAAAAATAATCTAATTTGTGAGGAATCAAACTGTTTTATATGGTCCCATAACGTCATCGTACTTTCATCCATCCTGTTTGATGTGTAGACGCACTATTAATTTTTCACCTCTAAGGTTGACACGTTGACCGTCCTGAACGAGCAATGCGATTCGAATCGTGTTCAATACGTTTGTATTTAACGGATAGTAAACTACTTGTCTGTGACACTCGATAATCTGGTAACCCGGTGGTACGTTTGGAAAGAATTCGTGCAATGTATGCGATTGACGTCCTACGTGGAACGAACCAACAATTATATTGCAGTCGACTCGTATGCATGTCATCTTTGCTATAGATAACGGGAAATCCGTCGTGTGTTCCATTTTCGGTGCCAATACACGAGGTCGGAACCCTAGTATACGACCGATTGATTGCGGGTGTGTAAAATCTATGGGGTGATCGCATTTGATTATGCTTCGCATAGTGTTGCGGTCGGCTGTAAAAGAGATAACGTTTCGATCACCCAANATAAAAGAAATAACGTTTCGATCACCCAACCTTTTGTCACCGATTTCTCTACTGTTTTCTTTGAGTAAACCAACCGTTGGTAACAATGGATCATCAAAATCTATTTGTTGTTGTTGCACACTGTACTTATACTCTTCTCCGTTGTACTTGTCCGTGATTCGTTTCTGTAAATCTTCAAATTCGTACGATCCCGTCGGTAGTGTTATCACCATAATTGGTTTGTCAACAGTGCCGAAAATGAATTTGTTACAATCCTCGTCAATATTAGGTATAGTGTTCCACGTATGCAAGCTCAATAGCCCAATTTTACATNAGGTGTAGTGTTCCACGTATGCAAGCTCAATAGCCAAATTTTTCATTTGTCACCGACATCGATGAGTGAATTGAACGTGCATT